TCTTCCTCTTCCTCTTCTTCTTCTTCCTCTTCCTCTTCTTCTTCTTCCTCTTCTTCTTCTTCCTCTTCTTCTTCCTCTTCCTCTTCCTCTTCCTCTTCCTCTTCCTCTTCCTCTGAAAAGCTGCCAGAGTTCAAACCTCAGGTAGAAAACAGGTCAAACAGATGTCAGCGCTGTGTGGTCATAGGAAATGGAGGCATCCTCAGAGGCCTGGAGTTGGGCCCCCTGTTGGACCGCTTTGACACTGTCATCAGGTGAGAAACACAAAGGAACCCCTCCCCCTCACCCCCGGCCCCTCCTCCCTCCTCCCTCCCCGGTCACAGACTCTGTTTTCTGTACTCACTGAAAAGATATGAAAGATAAAGTGTTTTTCATGGCTGAAGCTGAAAGATGATGAAGAACTACAGTGATGACTGCATGCGCCCCCTGCAGGTTAAACAGTGCTCCTCTGGGAAAGTTCAGTGTTGACGTGGGGAAACGAACCAGCATTAGGATGAGTTACCCAGAGAGTACACTGCACCACTGGTCGGACACAGACCCACACACCCTGCTGGTCACCGTGGCTTATAAATGGGTGGACATGAGCTGGATGGCTGCCATGGGGTTGTGGGGGGGGGGGGGGGGGGGGGGGGGGGGGTGACCTGGTGGCCTGAGTCTGGGGTTTGACGGTGTCTTTACCATCTGACCCGTCTGTGTTCTGTGTTGCAGTCTTTGTTGGACCGACTCTTCTACTGGCAGAAGGTTCCTGATCAGGTTCCTTTGGAGCCGGAGAACTTCAGACTTTTAAACCCCACTGTCATCAGAGAAGCTGCGTTAGACCTGCTGAAATACCCCACCCCCAGGTGGCGCTTGTGGGGCTGGGACACGGTAATATATTTCCCTTAGCAGTTGGTTGAGCTCCTGGTAGTACCTCCCCCTCCCCCCTCCTCCCCTGCAGTGGTGCAGTGGTGCAGTGGTGCAGTGGTGCAGTGGTGAAGTGGTGCTGTGGTGCAGTGGTGAAGTGGTGCAGTGGTGCTGTGGTGCAGTGGTGCTGTGGTGCTGTGGTGCTGTGGTGCAGTGGTTCAGTGGTGAGCAGTGGTGCTGTGGTGCTGTGGTGCTGTGGTGCAGTGGTGCTGTGGTGTGTCACTGACTTCTCCTCCTCTTTGGTAGAACATTCCCACCCTGGGGGTGACGGCTCTGAACTTGGCCAGTCTGCTGTGTGACGAGGTCAGCCTGGCGGGCTTTGGCTACACCATGTCACGTGTGGCGGCGCCGCTGCACTACTACGACGACCTGCCGATGAACGCCATCCTGCAGCAGAAGATGCACAACGTGGACAGAGAGACTGAGCTGCTGCGGAGCCTGGTGAAGGAGGGAGGTGTCAGTGACCTGACAGGAGGGATTCACTGCTCCTTCTGCTCCAGCTGAGGGAGGACACACTACTACTAGTACTACTAGTACTACTAGTACTACTAGTACTACGGAGTACACTGGATATTTTGCAGTATTACAGAACATATTTATTGTACATGTGTCTGTGTGTGAAGAGGAGGAGGAGGAGGAGGAGGTGACAACAACTGAACTATACTGAAAAAAACACAATCAGAACATTCAAAGTCCTGTTTGTAGGACACCATGGTGTTCTTAGAGTTGTGTGGTCGGGTCAGTTCTCCTGACCCCTGTGGTCCAGTGGACACCAAGACCAAAGTCTGACATTAAAAACGATGGACGATTCTATAACAAAGTGTTTCAAAGCCCGGTGTCTGAGTTGAAGCAGTAGAACAGACGTGTTGTTTCTCGGGCTGTCAAGACAGTCGAGCCGCAGACCTATGTCTCCCCCTAGCGGTAAATGTATACATTTAGCCGAGTATCGTAACACGGAAGTGTCGATGTCACCAACTTAAGCGTAAACGTACAACAAAACCTGAATAAAGTAAAACAATGGAACTAAATGAATAATAAAGTGACGGAATCAAACTTTATCTTTTAGTTGTTGTTGTTTTTTTTTTTTACTTTTGACTTAAAAATCTAAATGTTTGGACTTGTTCGCTTACCGTAGGACAGAATGTTTAACAGGGTTTAGTTGAGGGGCGGCGGGTGTGTGTGTGTTTGTGCTTTAATCGTTAAATTATTCATAAAAATACCTTCCGTTCAATTAAGGGAATTTAATACATTCTTTATAACTCGACACAAAATTGAATTTTAAACTTTTGTTTTTTTTTTTAAAAAAAACCTATTGTCCGCCCTACACCCCTCGACGTCGGCAGTGGTTTGTTCCGGAAATTGAACGTTTTTGCGGGAAGCAGCAGCTGTTTTTAGTGTCCGATGAAATGAAGTAAGATTATATCGACAGCTGCCGCTCTCTCCTCAAGAGTTTTATCCACATTTTTCAACCACGTTGGAGTTTGTCCGAAGTCAAAGTAGTGACATTTTTATGTTGAACGAACGAACTGTGTCAGAATCACAGTGGAACACTGACTGACTGACCCGCTGCAGTGGAACTCTTCAGACGTTTCTGTTCGAAGTTTCAGGTAAGAACCCGGAACGTGTATTTATTTATTCTTTTCCCATGTCCCTTCAGGGGATCCGTATTAACCTACTCGGCAGAATACAAACGTAACCAAGATAACTACAACCGTTTTTCACATTGAACAAGAACGTTGACTTATTCTGCTAAATGTCAACAGTAACATACGTTTCTCTCAGTTTTATTTTTTATCTTAACGATTTATATATCACACAGACATGGTGGATATGATGTATCTAAATGTCCCGGTGTTTTAGTGTAAGAACAGTTTCTCATCGATGACATCAGTGATGATGATGATGATGATGGTGATGTCGGTGATAATGTCGGTGATGATGTCGGTGATGATTGTTCCATTGTTCATTTCACAGGAGTCAAACTGAACCCAGTGACACCAGATAAGATGTCTGTAAGTCAACTCTCCAATGAGAGCACCATGAGCATGAAAATGTGTATGAATGTGTGTGTTTCGTCACTCCCGTGTGTAAAGCAGGCAGCGTGTGTTTTCTTGTGTCCAGCATCAGACGGCAGTTTGTTTCGGTGAAGACTCCAACAACTTGTCTGCCATAGAAAAGGCCAGTTTCCTGGAAGGACTGCAGCAGAATACTGGCAAGACAAAGAGATTTGATCTCATATAGCAGTGATTTATTGTCTGTGTGATGAGATTCTAACAGCTGACCGTATGCAGCAGTCAGAAGTTGTTTCATTTTGTTGAAATTAAATTTATAATTTGACCAAATGCAGGTTTTTGCAGCATTTGAAGACTTTTTTAAAAACTCAAGACTTTGAAAATCCCTGACTTTATTTGACTTTATTTCCATGGAGTTCTGTTGTTGTTTTATGTCGTATTTTCTTCATTCTGAATTTAGACAATGATAAAATGAAGTATCATTTCTTTTTTGGCCCAGAGAACCGTCTGCACAGCACCGCCATAGAGGAAGAACTGACGGTGGTGAAAACAAAGCTGCCTGTGGCTGCAACAAAGAGGAAGAACCGAGATAATGATCCAGGAAACACCAAGAGAGCGAGACCAGCGCCTCAGCAGAAGGTCAAGGCCCGGTAAGGTCAAGTCAAGGTCACCCGCTTGTCGTCATTCAGTCGCCGGAGGTAACGGGAGTTCGTGTTTCCTCTGCTTTTGATCTACTGTGAAGAACTGAGCGCAGAGGGGTCAAAGGTCAGAAGACAAACTCTGACAGGAGCGGTGTGAAGGCGGACGCCAACAGCGTCCTACCAACAAGTCTACGGCCCAGAAGCAGCGGTGTCAGAGTTTTGGCGAGGAAGAATACGGCTCAGAGCACCAGTACAGGAAGTCCAAACTCAGTGAGGTGAGGTCACTCAGAGGTCACTCAGTGTTTTCATTTAGATGTGGATTGACATGTGTCAGCATCACCACACCTTCTATCCCCCGTGTCAGAGCCAACAGGAAGTCTGTGAAAATGAAGAAGAGCCAATCAGAGGCTCAGGTACAGCTCAGTCCACAGCAGGAGTCTGACGGTGAGCAGCAGAGCCGTCGCAGCGCCCTGTCCTCCAGTGAGGCCGAGGATGAAGACACCAGCTGGGTAAGGTCCAAACCCGCCGTCGGCCGTGGTCACAGGCGGACCGCCTGTTGGTTTATTGGTGTTCTCTCTTCTCGTTCATTCAGAAACCTCTCCCAGAGAAGGCAAAAGTGCAGAGTTTCGGCCGAGGCGGGAAGACTTGGTCCGTTAGCCCCAAATCCAGGAAGTCCTCCTCAGGTGAGCCGGATCACCAACTGGTCCGTCTGGAACCTCCGTCTGTGTCCCGTGTCCGTCCACCACCGGCTGCTGCTCTGGAGAAGTCCGATCTCTGAGGAAGGTTTTTTAAAACCCTGGTGTTTTTCTCTGAAGGCGGTGGACGTGACCAGGAACAGACGGCGACCAGCGCTGGTACAGGCCGCAGCAGGAGACGCACTGGTCCTCCGGGGACAGACTTGGAGCTGGTACTGGAGGCGTTCCTTCATCTCTGTGATCAGTTCAGGTACAGCAGCACTTCACACCCAAACTGGAGGAATTCATATCCGTCTGTGTGCCTTACACACGTGTGTGTGTTTGTGTGTGTGTTTTCAGGGAGTCTGCGGAGTCCAAATCAATCAAAGACCTAATCGATTTGTTCTCCTCCAATGTGGAAGAGCAGCTCATGGAGAAGGTCAGACGTTCCCTCGGTGAACAGCTGATCTTCTGACCTCCGTGTGACCTCACCCATCAGTCAGCTGTGGTGATGATGATGTTGACGATGACGTGGCGGTTACATTCAGTCCAACACCAGAGCCAATCACAGCGGCTCATCGTCTCTCGCTAATGTTGAACCGGATGAACGTTCTGGAACATTGTAGTGTAGAAGCACATCACGAGTCACTGAGAACTTTGTCTGGTCTTTACTGATCAGTACTTAGAACTCTTTTTTATAAAGAGTTAATTTTGAGACCCAGTCAAAAATACTGATCTTCATTTTAGTTTTAATATAAGAGTAATTCAAATAAAAGGTTTTTATAAAGTTCATTTTTTGGTTTTTAAATTTGAATTATTTTTAGGCGTTTTCTTTTATGTGATATCAGCACCATCCTGTGGTGTACCTCAGGTACTGCAGTGTTTAATTTAATGGTGGACCTGTTTGATCTGTGGGTTTGTTTTTGTTTTCCAGATCATGCTGTTCAAAGACCTCAAGGTTTTAAAAAGAGAGAACACAAAGGTAGGCAGTAAAGTGTAATACCAGTTAGTACCACTAGTTCTTAAGAACTTATTTATTTTAAAACAATCCTTAAAAAAACTTGACAGTTCTGAGTAAAAAAAAGTATCAAAGATACACAGGAAGTAGGACCAAAGTTCTGTTGAATAAGAATAAATGTTTACTCTCACGGGTCGACTGTCACTCAAAGTTGTTTTTGTGTCATTTTACCTGTGTGTGTGTGTGTGTGTGTGACAGGTGGCTTCGTTGATTCGCTCTAAGACACACAGACTGTTGGAGGCCAAGAATGAGCTGATGAGGTCAAGGGTTACCGTGTCTCCTGAATCTTAACCTGACGTCCACTTCCTGTCTCTGGTTCATTTACCTGTGTGACGTGTGTGTGTGTGTGTGTGTGTGTGATTCAACAGACAGGAGAGACGAGTGCTGCTGCTGCAGAAGGAGAAGTCAGAACTGACACTGAAGCTGTCGGATCTGAGGAGGAGCCACCACTTCCTCTGTGACCTCAGACAGCTGAGCCAGCAGCACGTGGACCAGCAGCACGTGGACCAGCAGCACGTGGACCAGCAGCACTCGGACCAGCAGCACGTGGACCAGCAGCAGCTGGAAGAGACGGTAATAATCCCACTTTGTCAGCTGGTCTTTATGAACTAAAACCAGTTCAGACTGGTCTCTGTTTTACCAACATAGCTTTGTCCAGATTTGAGGCGTGTGACCTTTGACCTTAGATTTTAATTGAAGCCTCATCAGCACGCTGTGATTCTTCCACTGTAGAACTAACACACACACACACACACACACACACACCTGTCTGTGCAGTACGGAGCGTCCAGTCTAGCTGCTCTGGTTCTGGAGGCCAAACACGTACAGACGACGGAGCAGCAGCTGAGGAGCATCAACCAGAGGATGGAGAAGAGACTGGAGCACAGCAGGGACAGGAAGCAAGTGTGACGGACACAGACCAACGCACGCACACACACACACGAGTTTGTTCCAGTTGTTAAGAAGTTTTTGTGTAAGAATAAAAAAAAAGTCAAACAAATAAACAGTGAATGTTCCTCGTGGTCAAACTGAACAGAAGTGAAGAGGTCTGAAGTTCACTGACTGGCCACAGGTGTGAATGATGGTGTGAATGATGGTGTGAATGATGGTGTGAATGGTTCTGACCCCGACAGGATGAAGAGGAACAAGTGTTTCATCATTTTGACACTGTTTGTTGTGAACAAAATAAAAACATTAAAAAAACATTCGTCTATGGTCTGGGAACTCTTTGACGTCAGCAGCTTTACAACTTCCTGCCTCTGAGCGGCTGCTCTGATTGGCTCAG